AAAAAAAAAAAAAAAAAAAAAAAAAAAACCTATGACTGATAAAAAAAACAAAAACAAAACAAAACCTATGGTTTTCCCCTTTAGACAGGAATTCAAAAATCTGCTACAAAGAATATGGTGCTATATTTTTGTTGGATGTGCTATATATTGTGTTACATGTTTAAGGAAGACGATAAGAGCGTGCCAACAAGCTATTAACTCTTTTCACAAAATGTGCAGATAGCGGCTTTAATATAGTGGTAGAGAGCTTCCCACCAAAGTGTTTCTTTAAGAACTGTGAGGGAGTCAGCGAGCGATGCTCCATTTACTGAACTTTCATGGGGTAAAAGTCGTGGACACACAGAGCCCGTAGATATGAAGCAAGCAAGAAGAAAAGCAAAATACTGTAATACCTCTTAATGCTATCTAAACAACTCCAAAAGTCTTCACTGCTAAACTGTTCATAGTCTCTTATTTCCAGGGTTCTTCTTATGCCAATATCAATTATATAGAGTAAAAGCAACATAGTGCAACGCTACGAGCTGTGTTACAAGCACAGCATCACAGAATACGAAAGAAAAATCCAAAATTTTACATTGAGTAGAAAGTTATCAAAACAAGGAGTACTTACTCAGATGGCATGCTTGTCATGACTAATGTTCTTGTTGGCTAGAGATTTCAAAAGAGAAGGAACAAAAAACAGTCAGAAATGTAAAAAACATTTTTTCCCACAGAAATTAACTTTAATACATTTTTTGAAAAGTTACATCACTTAAAAATAAACATTTAAGCATATATCAAAAGAAAAAAACTTTATATTCCTGGAAAAAAAAACAGCACAAGAGATAGAAAGTCAGTTACTTATCCCCAAATCAATCCAAAATAATCCAGGGCATGAGGTAGAAAAGGAGAGGGGGAGAAAGGCTTCCCTCCAGAAGTCCATTCTACTAGTTAGCTGGCAGACCACCAAAGATGCCATCCTGCTTATAGACGTGCAAGGAGGGTGAGAGTAAGAAAGGCATTTTTTACAGGTCGAAGAGCCATTTTTCCTTGCCTAGGTGGTGCACACACAGTAACACTTATGTTCCTGTTGCGCTGGTCAATCAAATGCTTTAACCTCTTGCACAGAGAAGCTCAGATAAAAAGGCATGGCTTATTTATGGGTCAGCATCTGCTATTAACTGGAAGTGTAAAGTTTTTTTTTTAATGAGTTTTTAAATACTTTTTTTATTTACATAAGAAAAGCATGCTGACAGCAAAATATATACATATTCAACGCTTTGGAAATATATCATTAGAAACATAAATTCCCCAGTAATTCCACCAGTGAGAAAAATGACTATTGTTTAATAATTGGGTATATATTCTGCCAAATGTTCTTTCCGTGGGAAGGTGTGTATATATAATTTTTCAAAAAAAACAAAAATGAACTCACATTATTTATACATTTTTGTAACTGATGTATTTCAAACGCAACCCACTATGTATTGTAACCATGAACTAACCATTGTACACGTATGTCTTGAGGGACCAGGCGAATAAACGAGGAGAAAGAACAAGAGGCATTCAGAGGACCCCATGTGGACACACACCATGGAGTCAAAGGGGCCTGTACTGTGTGGGTATATCTGGGGAAGGTGGAGGAAGGAGAATGAAGAGATAACCCGGATCACAAAGATACTCGATGGAGAACTCAGAGATGTGGCAGACGTGCTAACTCAGAGATGACTGCAATCTCTTTTCAGTTACCCTTGCAGAATAGTCTATTGTAACTCTCATCTGTTTGGGATACAAAGGGAACCACTGTAGCACAACTTTGTAGGCTGAGTCTGGAGACTCAGAAGCCTCTCTGTGGGTGTCTCTGATCACCAAGGGAGATTCTGGCTGAAACCTAATCACGATCTTCAGTGTTATCCTTGAATGAAAACTATGCAGGCGTAGTGATGTGACCAGCACCAAATAAAATCCAAGAAGCGCCCCTTCCACGTCATCTACTTTCTTCTGTAGAACCATCCAAGCGATGCCAGGAGAGTGTCATCTGTGGGGGGAAGTATCCCAAGAAACGAAGGGGAAGGGAAAAGGAAATCCTCCTGACTTCTACAATGCGAGGCTTCCTCTCCATGGCTTTGCGCTTCTTTACCTGTACTCATTCTCCAGGCGATCTTTCGTACAGCCTCAGGGTTTTACATACTAGCTGCATGCTGGCGGTTCCCAATACTGTATCTCTAGCACAGAAATATTCCCTGATGCCCAGACTCAAATATTCTACCACCTACATGGGAAGGAAGTTCATCTGGAGGTCTAACAAGGATCTCAGATTTAACATGTCCAAAACTAAGGTATCGTTCCAGCCAGGCAATTAGACAACAAAAATGAAATAAAACAAAAGACATCCAAATCGGAAAAGAAAGAAAGCTATTTCTATTCATAAATGAGATAATCTTATATGAGGAAAGCTCTAAAGAACCCAGAAAAACTGTGAGAACTCATAAATGAATCCAGCAAAGATGTACTATAAAAAAATCAGTGTGCAAAAATCAGTTGTATTTTTATATATGGATAATGAACACTAAGAAAAGGAAATTAAGAAACAATTTCATTGATAATAGCATCCAAAAGAATAAAATACTTGGGAATAAAGTTAATAAAAGAGACAAAAAAAATGTACAGTGAAAATTTAAAAAAACATTGATGAAAGAAATTTCAAAAGACCTAAATACACAGAAAGACATCCTGCGGTCCTGCACAGTAAGACTTAATATTATAAGATGACAAGACTATCTAAAGTAGACTTAACACTTTGTAAAAATGGAAAAACATCCCAAAGTTTATATGGCACTCCAAGAAAATCCAAATAGCCCAAACAATCTGGAAAAAGAAACACAAAGCTAGAAGTCCAACACTTCACAATTTCAAAACTTACTATGAAACTACAGTAATCAAAACTGTATGGTATTGACATGAGAACATATGGATACAGAATTGACAGTCCAGAAATAACTTAAACATCTAAGGTCAAATGATTTAAAAAAATTTTTTTTAAATGTTTGTTTATTTTTGGGGGAGAGAGAGAGAGACAAAATGCAAGCAGGGGAGGAGCAGAGAGAGAGAGAGAGAGAGAGAGAGAGGGAGACACAGACTTCAAAGCAGGCTCCAGGCTCTGAGCTGTCAGCACAGCGCCTGACACAGGGTCTGAACCCATGAACCATGAGATCATGACCAGAGCTGAAGTTGGATGCTTAACCAGGTGCCATTAAGGTCAAGTGACTTTTGACAAAGGTGGCAAGACCATTCATATGTAAAGAACAGTCTCTTCAACAAAGGGTGCTGAGAGAACTAGATGACCACATACAAAAGAATGATGTTGGACCTTCACCTTATTTTTTTAAAGAAATTTTTAATGTTTATTTATTTTTTAAGAGAGAGTGACACATAGCATGAGTGGGGGAGGGAGGAGAGAGAGAGGGAGACACAGAATCTGAAGCAGGCTCTAAGCTCTAAGCTGTCAGCACCCGATGCGGGGCTCGAATCCATACACCATGATATCATGACCTGAGCTGAAGTCAGACGCTTAACCAACTGAGCCACCCAGGCGCCTCTGGACCTTTACCTTATACCACATACAAAAATTAACTCAAAATGGATCAAAAACCTAAATTTAAGAGCTAAAGCTATAAAAAAAAAACTCTTAGAAGAAAACAAGGGAAATCTTCATGACACTGGATTTGGCAATAGTTCCTTAAATACGGCACCAAAATCACAGGCAAAATGAAAAAAAATAAATTGGACTTCATCAAAATTTAAAACTTTTATGCATCAAAAGACACTATTAAGAGAATGAAAATATAACCCACAGGTAGGAGAAAAAAAAATCTGCCAATCCTGTATCGGACAAGGGTTTAATATCCAGAATATATAAAGAACTCCTACAACTCAGCAAATAAAAGGACAAACAACTCATTTTAAAAATGGGCAAATAACGTGAATAGACATTTCTTCTGAAGAAAAAAAGCAAATGGACAATGAGCACATGGAAAGATGTTCCACATCACTAATTAGGGAAATCCAAAACAAAATGAGATACCCCTCAGTGAGATATCCCTTCCTGCCTAACTAGGTTGGCTACAATTAAAAAAAAAAAAAAAAAAAAAAAAAAAAAAAAAAAAAACATGAAAAATAACTAAAGTTGACAAAAAGTGATGCCACTATTGTGGAAAACAGTTCGGTGGTTCTCCAAAAAGTTAAACACAGAATTACCATACAATCAACAAACTTACTCCTAGGTATATACCAAAAAGAATTGAAAACATGGACTCAGATGCTTGTGTGAGAATTGTCATTATAACATTATACACAACAACCAAAAGGTGGGTATAGCCTATGTGCTCAACAATCGATGAATGGATAAAGTTAATTTGGTGTTACACACGGTGCAAATTATTATTCAGCCATAAAAAGTACTGAAGTTCTGATACATACTATATCATGACTCTTGAAAACATTACACTAATTGAAAAAAAGTCAGGGGCGCCTGGGTGAAGCAGTCGGTTAAGCGTCCGACTTCAGCCAGGTCACGATCTCGCGGTCCGTGAGTTCGAGCCCCGCGTCGGGCTCTGGGCTGATGGCTCAGAGCCTGGAGCCTGTTTCCGATTCTGTGTCTCCCTCTCTCTCTGTCCCTCCCCCATTCATGCTCTGTCTCTCTCTGTCCCAAAAAATAAATAAACGTTGAAAAAAAAATTTAAAAAAAAAGAAAAAAAGTCAGACATAAAAGACAAATATTGTATGATTCTACTTATATAAAATATCTAGAATAGGTAACTTAGTCGAGACACAAAGTAGAATAGAGGTTACCAGAGGCCGGGGGGTGGGAGGGAATGGGAAGTTATTGCTTCATGAGTTCAGAGTTTTATTCTGAAGTGAAGAAAATGTTTTGGAAATAGACAGTGATGTTGACTGCACAACACTGAACACAGTCACTGAACTGTACACTTAAACAGGTTAAAAAGGCAAATTTTATATTATATATTTTCTCTCACAATAGCAGAAAACAATTAAATTACTGATCTTCTCTCCCAAGCCCACTCCTTCTATAGCTTCATTGGTTTAATGCTATTTCTACTCCTGCTCAAGTTAAGAACATTTTTATCATCGCTCACTCATCATTATTTTCTCACACCCCACATCCAATCCATTGATTCATCCCACCAACTCAACCGTGCACATGTATCAGAACATGGATACATCTACGCCACTTGAAATATTCCATCATCTCACATGGATTACTGTGAAAGCTACTTAAATCATCTCCCGGCTAAAATCCCCCAGTAACTTGAACAGTGACTACTGGACAGTAAGCACTCAAAATAATACTAGTTTACTATTTATCATAAATAGATGAATATAAAATGGGAAGCAAGTACACATACTTCATACACATGAATATATGAATATAATCTATTAATCTATTCTATTAATACCACTCAAAAAGGGAAAACCATGGACATGACCCCTATTAAGTCTGAGTGAAGGAAGGTTGGACAGTTAAGTCAACCATAAGCCTGATAGTACCTTTCATCCTCAGCCAAGGGAGAAAAATAGTTGTATATAAAGAAACTCAAACCCCAGAATAAAAGTCTAAGTGCAGAGAAAAAAATACACAGAAGGCAAAA